AAAACATGTCCGTAGATGGGTCCGGTCAAATGCACAAACCACTTTTTTTTTTTGTGTGCCGGTGTTATATAAGATTTTTAGAATTTTTATAAAAAATAAATAATTGAAGTAATGACCGGATGATTTCGCTTACTTCTTCGTCGCTATCATTCTCTTCGGCATTCTCATCAGCAGGTTCATCATATAAAACTTCTGCTCCTGGTATAAATTCGCTTGCTTGAATTTCGCCATACTTGGAAGACTTTACCATAACATTGGCTTCTGTAGGACGACCTCTGTCTTTTCTACGTAATAAGTCCGGCATTATACGCCTGAACGTTCCAATTAAGGAATGCGCTGCCATCATAACGGAGCGTTCCTTGTACTGCTTGTACCGTGTTAAATCCTCAAGCAGATCCTCATTCATTGCTAACGGACATCGCGTACATATCTCACGTACGGTATTTAAGCTAAAAATATATGTACATTATGAATAAATAGCGATGTAAACAGTGCTGTATGCGAGTATTCGTAATTTATTATTAATACACAAATTATTAAAATAGATATTTGCATACCCGATAGCCATCACATCCGCAGAATTTCTTTCCGTTATGAAATTGTTTGCCAATGTCTTCAAAAGGGGTTCTAACATGTCAGGTGGCACTAATTCATGTGAAGCCTGAGCTATAAATTGTAAAAGTTTCGTAACCTCTGGAAAAGAAAGCAAAGACAAATATATAAAAGGTTACGCGAGAACATAAAACTCAGAATAAAAAAAATTGATAAAGTTTATATGACAATTAGCAGTATAGAAACATTACTTAAAAAATTTAATGCAGATAAATTAATTAAAAATCGAAATATTTAGCAATGAAACACTATTCAAATAACTTAATGATACATTATGTTATTAATCTCACCTCGTTGATGGGGTTGAAGAAATCTTTGTATGTACGGATAAAAGTTCAAGAGGAATAAACTATGCAAGCCAATAAGTCTCGAGACAACATCCAGAATCATAAGCTTTACTTCAAATCTATCATTATTTTTTTCTATCTGCTTAAACAATCTTTCAGCAAAATCCTGCGGGTCGTGAATTAAATGTAATGCCGAAAAATTATATTGCGGCGCCTTAGATTTCTTCTTTTTAGCTTTCTGGAAAGACACGTATTAAAATTAGAAATCATAGTTTACATTTAGTTTACATTTAGTTTCCTATAAATATCACGATAAATTCCGTAGTATTGAACTTACTACGAATGACTGTTTAGCTTTTTTCAACTGCTTCTGTCGTTTCTTCGTTTTTTTATTTACTTTGTTAGCCATCATAATTTCCTTCATACTTGGCTCATCATCCGAATCACTATCGTCACTCTCTTTCTCCTCCGCATGGGTTCCCAAAAAAAATTTCAAACTAGCGACCATTACTTTTGTTATTTTCGAAAAGCAGCCCGTTGCTATAACATTAACAGTCTTGACGTCGTTCCAGACATTTTTATTATACAATTCTATCATAATATCCACGGACATCTTCGCGGCTCTGACATTCGGATCTTTTAACATAGAGAACATAAAATTTTGCAGTACTGTATTGACTTTGGCATTTTTGTGCTTTGCGTTAATATTCTTGACATCCGTGACTATATGCGTTTGAAGGAATTGTCTCAAGGCCTTATCCTGGCATTTTAAAAGCTCGAAAAATAAACTGAGAAGTGCAGTAGGTTCTAAAAGGGATTTGTTGCGCAGTTGGATCAACGCTTTACAAAACGTCTGTAAAGAATATAACTTAGTAATTAATTTGCAACTTATATTTGATAGCATAATTTAACTCCTATGCATGTTATATGCTTACCATTCGCATTTCATTGTCTAATATGATGTTATGAGTTCGTAATATGTCGATAATCTCTTGAGGATATGTTTTCAAATCGTCTGGGTAACAATGGGCTACCTGTAATAATATGCGAAAAAGTAGACAAGCGAGTTCAGCACACACGTATTTTATTAAGTAATCTCTTAAAATTATAAAAATAGTAATCGTGCAGTTAATACGAGTTAATATTATATAGGAAATGTTTAAATAAATACAATGTGCGTGTTTGCAAAAATTTTAATAAAAAGAAAATCAAATTATATCATATCAATTTATACACAAAATCATATTTCTCATAATCTAAATTTATTTCACGGGAGATACAAACTTTACATACTTCATGTATAAAAGTAAAACCTAATTCTAACATAAATATCTAATATAAATACGTAAGGTTTTTTTTCTTTATTACTTAAACTTAAGAAGTGTTCATATAATAAAGCGTTAGGCAAAGCTGTTAGAAACAAGCACACGTGAAACTATAATTAAAAACTGAAAATATAATGAATTGTTTGTATGTAATGAAGCAAAAATTCAATCCATATTCACGCTCAAGTAATTCTTTATTTCAAAGCCAATCGTTTTAGCTACGACGACAATAAAGTCGTGACTTGCGCAGCACTTGAATTTCGTCTCATCCAACTGCGTGACATTATCACCGACGATAGATAACAGACCAAGCTGGCACATGGTAGATATTTGGGCGAGTAAATTAGCATTGACGTCTACTCTTTCGTCGAGGATAGCGCAGAAAATCGCGAGCATCCTCGAGATGGTGAATACCCGAGCTTTCTTTTGCACATTCGCTTCCACTTTCCGCTTAATCGACCGTATCTTTTTCTTCCTCTTACCGCTGTGCTTCATGAAAAGATGTTTGTCATACTTCGCGGGATTGTACGAAGCTAGATACGCCGCGATCAGCATGTACTTCGCGTAAAACGGTAGTTCGAAGCTCAACGCTAGCTTTGTCGTCGACTCGATTTCCCGGGACATTTGATGATCGGGCTGCAAAAAGTCGCCCGTGGAAACCCTAAGATAAATGATTTCCAAATTTGATCTCAAGGTGGCAGAGATATTTCGCCACAGGGCGGCAACATTATTCGGCTCGATTCGCTCACTTTCCACGGGCTCTACGTATTTAGCGAAATTTATCCTGGCCATGTGCCGAAGCTCGTTTAGATCTCTACAAAATCGGAAAAATACGGAAAGGAAGAGATTCAAGTAATTCTTATAGAAATCCGTATCGTAATTCGCTGGCTTGTCCAGTAATAGCAGTTGGGCTAATTCGTCCTTCGTGTACTGCGGAAAATAAATCTTTATCGGCTTCAACGCGCCTATCTTGGTGTTAAATTTATCCCACGCGATCTCGCTTATCAAAATCGTACATACATTAATACCGGATAATTCCCTGAGTCTTAAGATCGCTGGCAAAAAGGTAACATCGAAATGCCGTATCTTGTGACATTTGTCAAATACTAACACGATCGGACGTTTGTCATTGTGAGAAATCTTTTTAAGTGCAAGTATAAAATCCATAATATTGTCGCAGTTGCGTTTCAGCTGTGTGTCGCCATTTGATTCTTTCATAGATGCAGCTAAATCGTCCAGGATGTAGTTATATATGTGTTTACTACCTAAATGCTCTATGCAGTTAACATAGCTAACATTATAGTTTAAATGATCAAGCAGGCTTTGTATAATCAACGACTTCCCAGTGGCCATATGCCCGTAAACGAATATGCTCTCTGGCATCGGTTCATCCGCTTCGCCGATCAAAGAGTACAGCTGTGCTATAGTTTTCTCGCGGCACATAAAGTTATTTTTTTTTTTAATCTTTCTTAAATATTTTTCCATGATTATGCCTTAAAATTACTCGAGAGATAAAAGTGGACTACAACCGATTTGGTTTTTAGTTTTCGTCCCTTATTTTATCGCTGACTGTGTCGCGCTTATTCGAGAGAAATAAACAACAGCTTTGACAAATTATCGGCGCTCTTATAATGAACTTAAACGATACTTAAATTTAAGCAAATCGCACATATATTAGTATCACTTCTATAATTTAAGCATGTGTATGCTAACCTGAGCCAAGAAGGTTATCAACTCATCGAGACTTTTGTTAAATTGCGTAGGCTCCAAACGGAAAATTTCTAGAATAGACTTGTAGTGCCGATGCTGTTGAAGAAACTGTAAACAAACGTAGGACTTTAAACATTTGAAATAACCATGTGGGTATTTTTCTGTTTTAATGTGCAAAAATACACAAGAATGGCTTGTAAACTATATCAGTACAATATATGCAGCAAAATAGAATTACATTGTAACTTACAAACTTGACTCTAAACATATTACAAAGAAATTTATACTGGTCCGAAAAATTGAAGGATCACCTGTTCTATCCTCTAAAAATAGGCAAACTTCAAGATAGAGCAACTTCGTCAAAAATGATCGTATCGAGATGTTCAAAAAAGCATTTTACAGCTTGAAATCTCTACTTTCCAAATCGATACTTTAGAAAACGATTCTGCTGATTTTTCATGGAATTACACGGATAGAAAAGAAGACCCAACGAATCTCAACATTTTTTGCAAACTTTGACAAGTTCTATGGCGTAGAATAAAAATCGCACATAAACACGGTTTACAGCTTTCGAAAGAATAAATCTTTCTCTTTAATTTGCTTTTTTGTTGAGCGTCGTACGATTTTTTTTCATCGAGTTATTCAACATTGAAGTAAAAAGGGTCATTTTTGCTTCAATGTTGAATAACTTGGTGACAAAAAATCGCAAAATGCTCAACAAGTGCGCAAATTAAAGATAAAGATATATGCT